AAAATAAAGCCTGATCTCAGGTAACTTGAGAAACTTGAAAATAAATTATTGCAATCGCGTTTTTACCAGTAACACTATTATGAAAGTCATTATGGAAGTCATCCAGGCACTCCCTTAGTTGGCCTAGATGGGCATGGGCCGCTGAGCAGGATATGGATTTTACTATTTAGCGTTACAAACAGAGCATCTTGTCGGACCGGAAGCCACTTAAAGGGTCTTATGATGTCTTATACAGGCCAGGGTACTTAAATAAACAACTTTTCTCTTAAACAGGGTCAGAATTTGAAGGCCTCGTTTGTTCATCTATACCCAAACGTCCCTTGAAGATCACCCGGGATCGACTGATGGGGTGACTGTGTTTGTTTAATTTGTTTGAAAAAGAGACAACACAAAACACAACTAACGGGAAAGGTTGCAAGGGATGGTTTGGACAAAAGTCACAGTACTGTGACAATACACTGGATTCACGCAGGCGCAGGTGCATTTTTATCTCACGTGATGACTAGAACTAGTTTTGTGATGTGCACTTGATAAAGTGGACAAAAAACACAATATAATTTTCTTTGTAATTTATTTAATTAATTTTAAACCATAACAAGCTAAAACAAATATTAAAACGAAGTAACCACCATTAAAAAGAAATCACTGTTCATTTTTGCGCACATCTTCAGCATGGTAGCAGAAACTCCCTACGCTTTTATTAACATACTACTCGAATCTTAAGTAAGACACACCTACTACTGCTTTGTCGTAGACTGGGTCAGTTGTACGTTGACGTAAGATAAATGGAACCACGCTAACAATTAATAATGCAACCTCACTAACGCAACGCAGGATAGTCAAATTTGCACCTCGATCACCACTTTGGCAAAATAGCCGCCTCCGAGGAAAGTTGCAATTAAGTTTACGAATTTATGGATCATCTTTACAATGCAACCTACTTATCTTGAATTCCATTAGATCCATAAAAACGCGTAACAGCACCATTTTCGATACACGATACATTTTACAGTGGGCTGGTGAATTTTTTTTTGGTAAATAGACTTTTTATGTGCGTGTCGTTAAATAAGTTACATTAGGTGTTTTTGTCATGTAATGCAGGCAACTAAACACATTACTCACTTCTTACGGAAGCAAGAAAGAGCGGCTCTTAACCGGTTTTGGACCTACAATATTGGACAACTTGACAATGATGGAAATATTAGACCCTTCCTTCCCCATATCTCCCATTCAACTCAAGAATGCGAAAATGGTATCTTTCGATGCTTCCGCGTGGCTCCTGTGTGGCTTCATACTTGATAACAGGGCATTGGGTTTCCTCTGTTCTATTTAATTTTGTCTCAAGGTTTTAGTTTTCTAGTGAAACATGGGTCCTCATATTCCAGATAACCCTAACAATTTAACATGTTCTAATAAACAACAGCAACAATGTTTTTAGTCTGCACTGTCTCATATGAATAATAACAACAACTGAGCACTCCAGTTAGAGGCACTTGCATGCAATGACTATGAAAGCAATGTTGGCCTACAGTGCCGGCGTAGTTTGGGCGGGGGAAAGCTTGTACTATAGGCAAAACTAGTAAGAGCTCCTCAAAACAAATAGACAGCCCTGACATGTACAAATCTTTGTCAGTTGCGGACGTCTGTCCAAATGTAAAAGATCTGTCCAGGGATATCATAATACAGACGTTTGTATACCAAACGCCAAATATTGAACTTTTTTTAATTAATATTTAAACCAAATGCCATATAACGTCAATACGAAACGATTATCCCCAATATTTTTGCACTACAAATTAATATTTTCATATAACACTTGAGAAGCACGTGACTGAATAAATGACAATTAACCGTATTTTCCCCTTTCCCTAACTAGGAAGCCACACGCGTCTTAGCTGTTACAAAGGCACACTTGACAGAACCATTGACATAACTGAATCTGAAATAGGCTACAGAACAGAAAGCTCGTTCACTTGCATCACCAAACACATGAAGCTGGATAACGGTGGGACTGTCTGAAACATGACGGTAAAATCGAGGAACCAAGAAATCTGAAAGACTATCCAGCTCTTTCTGCCATTTGGACCACTCTAAGAGGAACTCTGATGGAGGGGTTTCATCCCATCCAATACCAAATTGCCACACTTTTGAAGGAGGAACTTCGCTCTCACCAGGAATGGAGCCAGGAAACCAATTGGGTCGAACAATGACGCTATCAAACTCAGAACCTTACGTCGCGTGTCTGCTATATCTCTTTTCACCACTTTATAAACAAAACAGTCTAATCTTGTGTCCCAAATGACACCGAGAGCACGTTCCACAGGCACAACAATTTCTTCCTCTACCACCTTGATGGAGGGAGCTCTTTCTGATTCTGGTATACGTTCTATCACCTATTTCACGTTCGAAACCCACTTGGTCAAGTTAAACCCAGCACGCTTTAGCATTACAACAAGTTGCTGTTGCAGTTCAAGTGCGTTACTTGTCCTCTTTACAGACTTAAAGAAATCATCCATATAAAAATTACGCTTAACAGCACGAGCAGCAATAGGGTACTGCAGTCCATTTTCCTCTGCTGTCCTTATAAGAGCATAATTAGAACACGTTGGTGCACACTTAGCCCGAAAGATATGTCGCAGGTACTGATAGACATCAATTTCAGACTCCGGTGATTGGCGCCATAGAAAACGGAGGGCAGCTTGATCCTCTAGTGGGACAGCAACTTGGTTAAACATTGCCTCTATGTCTCCAGAAAGGGCAACTTTTTCTTCTCTGAATTGCATGAAGATTCCAACAAGATTGTTCAACAAGTCAGGTCCACTTACAAGGTGACTGTTCAATGAAGACCCTTGATACTTAGCAGCTGCATCACATACACGTCTGACCCTTCCAGGTTTTTTAGGGTTAAGTACGGGATGGTGAAGGAGGTACCACGTACACTTTGCTTGGTTAGCAGTTTCCTCTTTGGTGAGTCTCTTGATATACCCCTTTTCTAGGTCGGTGTCAATGGTTTTCTTGTAGGCTTCGCCCAACTCAGGATCACGTTGAAGTCTCTTCTCTAGAAGACCAAGTCGGTGAATAGCTACAACACGATTGTCAGGAAGTTGGATGTTTTCATCCTTCCAAAGCAGCGGAACCTCATAATGACCTTCTACCTTCTGCGTCCGCTCACTCAGGAACTTCAACACCTTTTCATCTTCGACAGAAAGCTGCACATCACAGTCATATCGACATCCAAAGTTCTCGGTCCGTCACCAAGTTTTAACTGTTTCATGAAGCACTTCATCAGGGGTTGCCATATGAACCTTGTAAACAGATTCACCGTTTTCAATATAACCAGGTAGACGACCAGTAACAGTCCACCCCAATTTAGTACGAACACCAACAGGAGAACCTTTCGGTCCACGTCGAGTCTCACGAGGCACAATACGTTCTGGGACATCACTTCCAAGGAGTAACGCGACTCGAGTTACAGAAACTTCAGTCAAGTCTATGTCTGGAAGGTGTGGCCATTTCTCTTGTAATTCTCTGAAATTCTCCCTTCTTTCCGGCACGTTCAGGCGATCAACCACTAGAACTCTGTGCACATCAAACCTTGTACCAAAGTCATTCAACTGACTAACTTGAACATCAACACGCTTAGTCAGCAGCCTTGATGATCTCTGAATTCCATTCAGCAGAACACTTTCCACTGGACCCTCAAGGCCAAGATTTTTTGCAACATCTGTTGCCAGCAGACTGCAAGTACTTCCAGTGTCTAACATTGCATACGTGTTGAAGTATCCCTTTGGTCCATACAGGGTAACAGGCACAACTTGTAATAAAACAGAGTCACTACTACTCTTATGAGATGCACTAGAATGCTCGGTGGATGGGGTAACTGCTTCTGTTGCTGCTCGGTTAGTTGATGCAGCTGTTTCATTGTTCCCATCAGGTGTTATGTTTCTTGATGAGTGCAGTAATGCATTGTGACTTCGAGTACACCCATTCACTCCACACGGTTTCAAGTTCCTAAAAGTGGTAAGCCAATGACGAGATCGGAGGCAGCAAAAACACAGCTTATGCTTTTGAATTTCGCGGAGGCGTTCTTCTACACTTAAGGCTTTAAACTTGGGGCAAGCTGACAGGTTTTGCTGCTGTCCATCTCCCATTAAACAAGGTTTTGCTTGCTTGTTACGTGATGAGAGGTTACCCAAGAAGGTATTCTGCTTTTCACCAGCACCTCCATAGCGGCCTCTGAATGGTAACTTGAAGCAGTCATCATAAATATCCGCCTGGTCCTTTAGCCAGCTACAAAAGTCCTCCAGGTTTGGTTGATGTAAATTGCTTGTTCTCACATGGTCCTTCCACTTCACTTGGAGATCTGGGGATAGTTTATCCACTGCAATAGAGATATTAGCTTCGGCTGCTAGGTCATTTATGTATCCTAACCTTTTAAAGATTCAGACAGTCGTTGACACAACATCTGATAAGTTCCTCACTTCATGCGGTCTGTCATTCTGTATTCGTGATGTCTTTCTCAATCTGTCGAGTGTAACTTTTACAACAAGTGAGGGTTTTCCAAATCTAGCTTCCAATGCTTTCAATGCTCCATAGTAAGAATCCCCACTGTAACCATACCCTTCAATTGAAGACTCCGCTCTACCAACCACACAGTTCTGAAGGTGTTGCATCTTTCCATTCAAAGACAAATCAGCATCATGAACAATTAATTTAAACATCGATGAACAATCAGGCCATTGCAAAGGGTCACCGTCATATTTCTTGAGCTGTAACTTAGGAAGACTTGAACAGCTATAAGTAACATGCATGTTTCCTCTCAGGACTTGATGCAATATCAGTTTGTGCTGTTTTTGGTAAACATTCAACCCAGGATTGGTAAACTGGTGTTGATGTTTTGGATTGTGTCAAGCCTTTGGAAACCATGAATGAAACGCTTGGTCTTAGTTTCATAGACATTGGTGATGATGTTACCTGAGTTGCATGTACATTGTACACAGCTACAGACAGTGGTTGGGACGATGAGTATAATGACGGAACATGACTTGTTTTACACTTTGCGAAAATCCAGACAGTGGGATTAACTCTAGCAAATCATCATCAAAATCCCGGAGATGATTAGGGGCCAAGTCGCACTAGAGGACAAAACTGTTTATTTATGTCAAAAATCTGTCATCACAATAAAAAGCCAAGTGCGACCGGTTTGTTCACCAAAGGACAAAATTTGGTCGCGGACAGACAAACTTCAAAGATGCCGTCGACTACCTCTGGAGAAGGCCAAATTGAGACATATTTTGGAAAACAATAACGAGGGTGTTTTAATTCGGAAATGATTGGACAGGTGATACGTAGCAGAGTCTCTATGCTATAGACTTCGTTGTAAAATTAATCACGTTCTCATTTCACAACAACATGAATCCCGGCGCAGGAAATCAATTTTTTCCGTACGAATATCCACAATATCCACCAGGATGGTTCTATCCTTTGCCAGGGCCTTACATGTTTAATGATCGAGGAAATCCCAGCCCATCTCCGACCACGAGTACTGACTCGTTGCCAGAATCCCTTCAGTTCAGCGAAGATTGCTCAATGCCGGCATCAACCCCATCTTCTTCGCCCCGTGCATCTTCGTCAGCCGAGAACAAGAAGGCTCAGGACAGATGGAGTGAAGAAGAGGAGAAGCTTTTAGTTCAACTGTGGGCTGAAAAGCATGATCAGTTAGAAAGCCGAGAATCACAAGGCGCTCATAGCATGGTGTTGTGTTCTGTTCACAGATTTTGTTCTTAAGTGCGAATGTAGCTTTCCGGACAATTTTTTTGTCACTGGCCGATTTCAAGTCGGATTTGTCCGGAACAAAACTGAAATTGCCCTCCAGTGCGACTTGGCCCTAGGTAAAGACTCAGGGTCATTGTAATGATTAAAGTTTTTCGTACCTTCTCAAGGTTTTCGGCTTCTGCCGCAAGGCGTGCGACCTCGTCCTTTGCTTCTTGGGTTTTTCTCCTTTCTTTTGCTAAGAATTCAATTCTTTCAGCCTGGTTACGTGCTTGTTCGTTCTTGTGTTTTATCTCCAGCTGTTTCGCAAACTCTTTCTTTTGTCGTTCTTTTTCCATTTCTAGCTGTTTTGCCTTTATTTCTGCCGACGCCATTTTGGCGTGCATTTCGGCTACTTGAGAATCTGCTGAGGATCTACTCAGTTTCAATGAGCTTAACGCGATATAACTCTCTTCTTTCCTTTCTTCCAGATGTGCTCCAGCTTCTAATTTCGCTTCCTGAACTCTTTCCAGTTCTTCTTCATACCAGTTAAGGGAATTTTCATGTTCCTGCTCCGGGAGCATAGCCAACAGGTGATTGTTTAAAACTTGCGCTTCATTGAGCTACTCTTCCAGAATATTTACATAACCACGAATAATAGATTTTCTGCCATATTGCTCAATCGTACCTTATAATTTCTTTAAGGTATTCATAATTCTTCGTTTTACCACAGCTCTTTTTGTTTTCACAGTTGCAATTGTTGATCGTTGGGCCGATTCCAGTTCACCATTATCGTTTTCATCAGCCATGATTCGCTCAGTTCATTTGCTTGTCAAGGACCAGAAAATTGTTCCCGCAACCACAAAATATCCGCCAAAACCAAAGTAGGAACAATTCTTGACTGTATTAGTTTCCAAATAAGCTTTACAATCGTATACAGGCGACCGTCCAAAATTGTACGAGCGAACAAAAACTAAAGACAAAACCATGTGCTCACATCCGGGTTTTTTCACTTAATCATTTCATTTAAGCGTCACTAAAATGTCTCATTTGAAAATTGAATAAACAGTGTCACGTTCATTTCCGGCTGTAACAAAGGTGTTCCCTTAGCGACACAAAATTTGTTTATCGGAAAATTTTAGAAGTTCTTGTTTTTGCGTGGACTGACATCTTGTACATGAATTTGCTTTTAGCAAGAACTTGAGTGTTCTAATAATTTTAAACTTTTGGTCGGCATCACACGTTTACTGTACTTCTTGGGACACCTAACCGTTTGTTTCGTCAAAATCGGTCACAAGATTGGACTTTAATTTCGGTCCTATTGATTGCAGTTTTGACTGTGCCTCATTGATATTCATTTTCTTTATTGTTCAAGACATACAGAGTGACTATCACTAACATCTCACCAGGTGACAAATCTACGTCTCGTGTGCTCTTAATTTTGTAGCTTTAAAGTACTGGGAAAATTGTAGAACATGTATTAATTCACTGCTGAACTAAACATCGGCTTTTGCGCACTTCGAACCCACTCGCTGAAATTTGCAATGATATATATATATTTTTTTAATATCTGTATTCCTTTTCTATTTCAAAACAGAGAAAATTGAAAGTGTTTACTTACATCAACAAACGCAATCCTACAAGCACTACATACATAAGCGCGCTGTTGTCCAGGTCAAGTGGGGAGATGAAAATTCATAGTAGCTCGTACTATGTTAAAGCCGGTTTACTTCGCTTTTGTTGAGACCATGTTAGAGTTTTTTTTTTTTTTTGGCAAAATGCACAATTTGTATCCTGTTTCCAGAGGTCCGTTCTCAAAATACCTGAGATAAGCTAAACGGTGGTAGTGGTTGATATTAAAAGCTCTTTCTCCTCGGCACTTGGTGCCTCGTTGACGCGGTTTTGCCGCGAATTATCAGTATCGATAAGAAAAAATATCCTCTGGAACCCATTTTGTTAAATCGCGAGCACATTCGTCAAGAGCAACGAGCAAAATAGTCTCGGTGATAGCTTTGAGACGCGCCATTTTGATGAAGGCAGACCCTGTGGTGAGCTTCCATGCAAATCGCTAGTTCAGCGGTCGCGCATGCTCATGCAAAAAAGACCCCTGATATTCATCCCTGTTTCGTTGCAGGTTTTGTTTCCAACGTTGCTTGGGTAAAGTGAAAGGGAATGAAACGGGTTATAATTGAAAGAACAAGAAACGCTATACTTAAAAAAAATTTCGGCCAATAATTTTGAATACCGGGGTTTATGTCTTAATTTCAAGGTGACACTTACCTTAAAGTATATTCCTCGTTGTTCAGAGAAACAAACAAACAAAAACAAAACATCGTTTTACCTAAAATTAAGTAAATTGATTGTGTTTTATTAGGTTGCTCTTATAGAGCCAATATCATTATAAAAATAAATGAATTTCGCGTTGAATTTACCATAATTGAAATGATTTTCTTTGGGTTTAAAGAAAAAGTAAAACCAAAATTACTGACAATGTAAGCACTGAATTTCCAAAGAAGGGGCTAGTTATAACGATCACCTTACTATTCTCAAGGAATGGGAATCGTATCAAGACACAATTAGGCAAGAGGGATCCTGGATTCTAAGATGATGCAAAGTCAGGTCTTTAAGTAGCTGCGAGACGAAACAGGCTCCTGTTTTTAAACACTTTTTGCGTTGTTTTAATTTGTAACTTCGTTTGTTTTTTCTCAGAGAGGGAAAAGGAAGTCGATTGATCGAACATAAAACTGTATCTTTTTCTTTGCCCTCAAAAACACTTCGAATAAAATTATAAATAAGAGACTGCTAAATTTACATTAGAAACAGAAATTAATGATTGGGCAAAGGGTGTAAAGCACCAATATCTGGGATGGTATTCGGTCTTTTTAATCCTTTAAAAAAATGTAACTTAAAAAAGTGTTGAAACCAATACACCTTTAAATGCTGGTTTTCTCTAGCGCATAAGCATAGGCAAAGGGCATACGCACGCCCAAAATGGCATGACTCAATTCTCGATACCAGCGCTCCTTAACACGATGATAAACAAGTGGCCGGCATATTGCTTTTGATGTGATCGCATGAGGTCTGGGTCAATTGATTGGTGCACGGCCTTGTGCTTATGCTAAGTGCTTATGTCGACCTCGTTCTCACTAGTCCAAATTACGACATAAGCATAAGCGCAAGCACAAGAAGAACTATACGAACATGTCCGTTTTTAAGTCGCCGCAGTTTTCACTTCCTTACATACGTCCTTGTGCTTAAAGCTTATGCTTATCCGCTAATGAAAACAAGGCTTAATAGACCTCTTTAGCTTCCCTCACCAAATCAACTGTATTTTAAAACTGTCTGTGAAGTAGTTAAAAGCTATTTAAACGATTTAAAAACTATTTTTACCACGATTTGAGGTATTTTTTATTATATTTCACGACTAAAACCAAAATATAGCGTTAGAAGCTTGAATTGTATTTGACATCTATTTGAATAATATTTATAACATTTTCCCAGGTTTTCAATTCCTTGTATTTGAAAAATATTTGCTATCAAAACTACATTTTAACTACAGTATTTAAACTATATTTTCGGAAAGAGAGTATTGGCGAGTAGCTAAATTTTTTTAAATACCGTATTTAAACTGCATTTTGGAAAGAAGAACCTAAAATCAAAGATTGAAAAAGTAGTTTTTACAAGTAAAGTTCAAAATCAGGTTTTAATTAGGGTGTGTAAAGACTATTTTGAATATACTTCCTCGTCTGCGACCTTAAACAGCTCATAAATAGCATAGTTAAAACATGTTTGAAGAAGGTTTAAGAGGCAGTTCGATTTAAATTGTGATTTGAAATGACGATCACCTTGAAATCTCTCCAAACAGGATTAAAACTAGCTGTTTTTACAGTATTTTCACAAACTATCCTCATTTAAAAGGTATTTAAATGGAAGCCTGTTCCCAAACCAAACTTAAACAGGCTGTTTATAGGGTGTTTTGAAAAAACCCGGCTGTCCTCGATGGTAAAAAATATACTTCAAAGGAAAAAAAATCCACCAAATTTATTTTCAAACAGATTTTAAATACTGTTTTCGGGGTATTTTTAAAAATTGATACCGCGGTCACGGACTTGACAAACAAAATGCAATTAATAGACATACAGATACAGTCTGCCAAAAGAAATAAGAACATGTCGTCTAGGCAAAGCCCATTCTACAAAGGCACTATTCTTATAGTTAAGCCATCTCGACAGAAGTGTTTCGTCGTCAATTCAAAAGAAAACTGACGAGAATTCTCAGTTCTGGACACATCCGATTTCTAATCATGCGCGTACTTAATAAGTAACCAGTAAGTTTAAACGCCACAAAATTATAAAGCCCAAGTCCACTAGAAAAAAAGACACAGAGCTGCCATACAGTTGGGAGCTAATGTTTCTCCTAACAAAAGCGAACAATCAGCCTTGACTTGATGAGTCAAATAAAGTATCGGAATATGCATGAATTTCGAGCCCATCGACCGTTTGATAACGCGCGTTGTGTCACAGTGTGTGACAGTGTGAAAGATCAATCGATCCCAAATCGTTATTCATCGAATCTCTTTGTGTATATCTCTACACAGCAAGATTTTAAATCAATCATTGATCAGCTAGTAAGTCTTGAAAGTTCTAAAATTCGCATCAATCAAAACTTAACATTAACATATATACAGTGTAATCTAAATAGTAATCTAATCGATTTTGACACATAACCGCAGTTAACCGCCCGCGTAGAACCGGTTACGGTGAACAAAGATAAAATAAGCCCTAAACAAAATTATACAAATAAACGCTCACCTCTCGTGTTGCATGAAGAACCAAACGCTCAAGAAATTCCTCCACATCGTTATCTTACGTTCATAAATCATACTTGCTCGACTTAGCACGCGCCCGGGGACTTCCCGCGCAATAGAGTCACGTGGTAAAACCACGTGCTAAGGAACAAAGCAGCTTTGTAGCGGAGCTCTCGCGCGCGAAGCGCGCCAGCGGAGCACCATGGGTAAGAAAATTTGGTAAACTATCCATCCGATAAAATTTGGTTATGACGTAGCGTAGGCCCGCCCGCCCGCCCACCCGTACACACACTTCATGTAAGCCGATGTCAAGTGTCACACTTGTCAGGACCGTGAAATAAATAACAACGGAGACTAATGCCGCTGGAAGAAAAACATGAAAATTATATAGCGGCGGTTAGAAAATGAAGAATGCTAGCGGCTACTAATGTGAAAAAGCAGTGGCAGTGAAAAAATAGAATGAACAGGAACACAAACATTTCCTCCATAAAACGCGTAAATAGGAAGCTAAAAGAAGTTTCACGTTAGTCGTGTAAAACAACGGTAAGGAAATGTACAAAAAAAAACTGCTGCACGTGCAGAGTTGTTTTTTTGCTAATTAGAAAAAAAGTGTGCTGCACGTGCAAAGTTGTTTTTTTGCTAATTAGATCTATTGTTGTTGTTTTTAGCGTTTTCGTTGCTTTCAACTTGTCTTTAGTATTCATCGATTTTATATTTTCTTTGAGGAATCCATAAATATTAAAGAGAGCTTCGCTTTTAGCCCTGGCTAAATCTATA